GTGTTCCACATCCGTGAGTTTTGATTCATGAGCATGGCCACCTTGTTGCAAGCAAGATCCCAGTTATTTGGCTTTTCAATCAGTCCATTAGGAATCCACAGATCTTTGAAAATATCTACATCCCAACCGTTTGAGATTAACCATCTACAACCCTTAATGAAATCTTCCCGGCAAGCTAATAGGTTGGACCATAGCAATGAGTGTGAACTTTTATGATTTTGTTTCTAGAAATTTGATGATGTAAGATACTTTTCTTTAAGTATTTTAACCCATAAAGAATCAGTTTCTGTGAGAAAATGCCAGGCCAACCTAAGTAAGAGAGCTCTGTTCATCAAACTTGGGTCTCTAAAGCCAAGACCCCCTTTCTCCAAAAGGAGTAAAAATGACTTCCATGCTTTTAGGTAGATGGGTCTTTCTTTTGATGCCTTCCCCCACCAAAAATCATGGCAAATTGATCTTAGCTCCTTACAGATGGAGGATGGAAGAGCATAGGTTGTCATATGGTAAAGGGGGAGRGAAGCTAGAGTAGATTTAATGAGAGCAGATCTACCTGTATGAGAGAGGATTCCTGATTTCCATTTCTTAAGTTTTGACCTTGCTTTATCTACAATAAATCTCCGATTTGAGTGCTTCTTTGAGGTACTGAGAATTGGCCCACCCAGGTACATATCCTCTAACTTCATCTCTTTTATTCCCAACATATCCATGATTTCAGATCTTGATGAAAGAGGTGTGCATTTGCTAAAGGAGATTGAAGATTTATCATAGTTCACCGCTTGGCTAGAACAAGTACAAACTAGATCCAGTAATAGTTTTAGCTTTTGAGCCTCCGAAGTGGTTGCTTCCCCGAAAATCAGTAAATCGTCCGCAAAAAGGAGATGATTTAGCTTTAAATTTGATCTTCTAAATTTAAAACCTTTGAGTTCACCAGCACTAAGAGCATCAGAGAGCATTTTGGATAGCAATTCCAGATAAATAATAAATAAGTACGGGGAGAGAGAGGACACCCTTGTCTGAGCCCTCTAGTTGGCTTGAAAGGTTTACTAGAAGTACCATTAACAATGATGCGCATAGATGAAGAAGCTAAACAGTTACTTACAAGACTGATGAAAACCTCAGAGAAACCCAGGAGCTCCATATAGTGAAGAAGAAAATGCCATTCAACACTGTCGTAAGCTTTAGAAAGATCGATTTTGAGAATAAAATGACCTAGGGTAGAAGATCTTTTGTTCATTGAATGCATTATTTCTCTAGCCAGAATGATATTATCAACAATTTGTCTACCTAGCATAAAAGCATTTTGAAAAGGAGATACCAATTTCCCAAGAAGAGGTTTCAAGCTTTTTGCTAAAATTTTAACAACAATTTTATAAGTAATGTTTGCTAGGCCTATTGGTTTGAAGTCGCTAGGCAAAGAAACATCCTCCTTTTTTGGGATTAGGACAATAGTAGTGTCATTAATTGTAGAGATGATTGTAGGATCATTGAAGCAGGATTGGATAAACTGACAGAGGTCTTCACCAACTGTATTCCAGCCATTTTGAAAGAACAAGGCATGAAGTCCATCTGGGCCCGGAGCTTTGAGGGGTGCCATACTAAAGAGAGTAGTTTTGATTTCATCACCAGAAGGAGTTTCACAAAGAGACTAGTTATCATCAGTCGAGATACAACTATTGATGAAATTTGCAGTCATTGAATTTAGGTCTATATGGGAAGAGGTAAACAAAGATCTGAAATAGCAACAAATGGTATCTTCGATTAATTTGAGGTCAGAAATCCAATCCCCATTGTTGTCMTTCAGCCAGTAGTTACTATTCTTTCTCCTCCTCTTTGAAGCAACAATATGAAAATATCTAGAGTTCTTGTYCCCGTGATTTAACCAATTACATCTTGATCTTTGCTTCCAGTACATTTCTTCAATATCATACCACTTTTCTAAGTCAACTCTCAGAGAAAGTTATTCTGCTGATGAAATGTTTACCATGTCTCCCATTTGGATCTGCTCAATACACTTTTTGATTTCTTGAATTTTTAAGGGAAATTGTAAGTAGGAACGAAACCAATTTCATAAAATAGACTTACAATTCAAGCACTTCTGTGGAAAGGGGACAGATTGAGTGGTCCAAATTGATGAGAGAATAACAACATATCCATCACAAGAAGTCCAAAGAGCTTCAAATCTCTTTAYAGGTTTCACTTGTCTCTTGAAGCCAACTAAGTTACAAAGAATGGGATTGTGGTCACTCCCAATTGTTGGCAAATGTTTTACCATGACCTTCAGATACAACTGCAACCAAGACGGATGGGCTAAGAGTCTGTTCAAATGCTCCTTAATGAGCAGGTGCGCTGATCTTCTATTTGTCCAGGTATTAAGTCGGGCCATGGAAGCCCACGTTCAGAAGTTCACAATCATTTATGAAAGAATTGAGCATTATTGTCTCTCTATCACTAATAGCCCGACCACCTGATTTTTCTTTGTTGTTTGTTATAGCGTTTAGATCTCCAATAATTGCCCATGGACTATTAGACTGAGCATGGAAATCTCTTATTGATTGCTACAGTTTTGGTCGGTCTTCTCTTTGGGGAAAGCCATAAGCGCAAAGTAAGTTCCAACTACCTCTCTCAGCCTGATCCCCTACACTTGCAATAATAAGGTTTTTATCTGAACTAACAATTTGAACATTAATATGATCCGCCTGGATCGGACGCTCAGATTGAAAAAAAAATCCAAGAAATGGTCACCCGCTTTATTCTAGAACCATTTTTTGGCAAAAAACCGTTGATTTGGTCAATAAACCATTGACATGCGCATTTGAATCATCCAACRTTTTTTGACCATTTTTTTTTWATTTTTTTTGTTAAAATGGGCCATCCATTCGGTTCGAACAGTCAGACCATTCAACCCAGGAACTAGACCCCTGAATGGTTTCTTGTCCGGTTCAATCGAGAATGTTGGGCTTGGCGAGAACGCCAAAAGGCCCAAAACTGTTGAAGCAAACTCGGAAGATGCCCCACCAAGTGAAGTTTGGCAACATAACCTTGTTTTTAAGGTTCTTACAGATCAAATAGTAAAAGCTGCAGGACTCAAAGATATAATAACAACTTAATTAACCTTGTTATATATTATTTAACAACATAAGATACATAAAATCATAAAATTCTTTAACAAATTTCCCAAAATTCCATAGTTCAGATATTTTGTTTTATAACTAGGGTCAAAATGTATGGATGAAACTCTTCAGTTTAAATCATTAACGACCAAGGTCACTCTTAATAGCTAAAAATGTTAAAAAAACTTATTAAGATTTATATCTAAACTTAAAATAATTAAATTTAAAAAATTACTGCATTATGATTAAAAAATAAATTTTCAATATAAAATATTTCAGACTAAGAAATATGAAAATTTTCCATTTTTTTGTATTAAAAATTATATTTAAAATATAAAATATTAATATATATCTATGATTGGGTTAGTTTGATTATGATCGGATTACAAATGGCCAAACCGAAACTGAGTTGACCTGGTCGAATTGAGAAATTGCTAAACTGAAGCCAATTGAAAATACTAGAAAACCAACCAACTTAGACCGAATTAATCGATTTAATGAATAATCCTAACAGAAATTAATTATTGTTATTTTTATATTACAAATAAAATATTAAAAATAGTATATAAAATATTATAATTATTATTTATTAAAAAATTAAAATATAAAACAATTATCTATTCTTATATTTTAACTTTTGCTTAACAAAACCAATACATTGCACGGGTTCCATCCCCGCTATTAATGACATATAACATGCTTTGATATTTGAATAGCTATCCTATAACAACGGAATGGTCCCGCTGTTAAGTTTAAAAATTCCCGATGTAGTAACTACCTTATTTAGAGGCGGATGGGACAATGAAAGTTACATCTACCATATTTTATTGGGGGCATAAAGAAGTAGGTGGATGGATGTGTTCATGTCAAGCCTGTTAGTCGTAACAGGAGTTTAATAATAAAATAGAAAGAGGAGTTGGTGAAGAAGTAGCTCAGCGGGTCGATAACAGCAATGAACACACAATGCTTACTTATTTTAGTGGAAGTTTATGGATAGGCTGTTTATTTGTATTTTTTCACTTTAAACGTTTTTCATTTTAAATATTTCTTGTTTTTGTTGTTTGGTTAAGTTTTACTTTAAACGTTTTTTTATTCTCCACATCAGATTAATACTCATTAAAGTGTGCCACATCAGTATATAGTTTCAAAAAATATCGGGAAAAATAAGAATTTAGCATTTTCTCAAATGCCCCATTCCTAAAAACCAAAGYGTTTCCATTTTTTACCATTTATTTGATAAACGATAAAATCAAATATTTGTTTTATTTTGTTTTATATACAATAAACACCAATGTCTATATGATGCCGATGTAATGTCATTTTTTCAATAAAGGCTAACAGAAACACAGCCTACATAACCCCAACTATAGATTTCTGATATTAGGTGGTAAAGATAACCTCCATGGACGAAAAACACTTGACTTCACATTGAAGGAGTAGGTATGTGGGACCCCAATTTATGAGCATATGGGTAGGTTGATTGGTACAGCAACAAACATAAATAAAARGTTTCCACACGTAGAAGGTAGAACAGCATGGTCCATGCCATATAGGATAAATTTATAACGATTTCTGAGTTTTTTTCGCAAATGTATAATATTCTCATTTAAGGCTATGTTTGGGTTAATAGGAAATCCCGAGAGAAACAGAAAGCTGAAAGGAAAGATTTTTTAAGTTATAATAGTAAATAATCAACAGTAAGTAAAGTATCATAAATTTAGTAACTAACGTGAACTTACGGCCTGAAAATAGGAGACAATTCTTCGAGAATAAAAACTACCATGAAAGAATCATGCATTAATAATGGTTATTATACATAATTTTCATACAGAACAATAGGCAGCTCTCTCTTTCTCTCTGTCTCTCTCAATCAAATAGACACATCCAGTCCTTTTTTTTTTCTTGTTCTTGGGGGTTCCCTTGTTGATAAAATTCAATCCGGCCATTTCTTGGAGCCCTCTTCAGCAGTTTTCAGTTTTCACACCCTGACCCTTTACAGGCCGGCGTGGCTCAACACAAATACACAATTGCATTGCATCCGCATCCGCATCCGCATCACATCATGGTCATGTCCTGTCTCAGCCTCGTCTCCCTCTACTCACGCTACCTCCGTCGCTCTTTTATATTGGCCGGTCTTTCACCCCAAACCGTCGACGTCGACTCTGAAACCACCATCCACTTTTGGGGCCCGGAAACTGAGTCTTCCCCCACACCCAAAGGCAAGCCCGCACTACTACTACTCCATGGGTTCGGTCCCAGCGCTGTGTTCCAATGGCGCCACCAGGTGCAATCCCTGACTCCTCAATTCGACCTCTACATCCCAGACCTCATCTTCTTTGGTGGGTCTACAACTACAAGCAAGTCTTCGGAGAGGTCAGAAATTCTTCAGGTAGTGTCAATGGGAAAACTGGTTGAGAAGCTTGGTTTGGAGAGGTTTTCTGTTGTTGGCACCAGCTATGGTGGGTTTGTGGCCTATCACATGGCCTTAAAGTGGCCGGAGAAGGTTGATAAAGTAGTCATAGCAAGTTCTGCTGTTAGCATGAGAAAGAAAGATAAGGAGGAATTGTTGAAGAGGGCCAAAGTGGAGAAGATTGAGTATCTCATGTTGCCCACTACGCCTGGGCAGTTAAGGACGTTAATTCGTCTGTCCATGTTCAAGCCTCCCCTCATTTTACCGGATTTCCTGCTAAACGGCTTTCTCCATGTAAGTCCTCTTTATTTTCTTTGTCAGACACAACTGTCGTTTTCTGTAGTCACTCTCCAAGCTAGACTCACTGTAGAAACACTGAATTCTAAGACTCAGCCCTGTTTGGCATTAACTGAGCCGCTTTGATCGAACACCTGTGTTCCGGTCCTTCCGGATAAATTACTCAGAGTAGCTTCATGTAATTGGCTTCATGATTATTCTGGCGTTCCCGACACTCTGTATTGGTTTTTTTTCGCAAATATACAACTTCAGGATTTTCTGTATCAGGCTCGGCTTGGAACGTTAAAAACTGCATCCTGAAAGTGAAAGCCTCTCAATCTGGAAATGGGTGCTCAACCAAAGCAGTTTAATTAAGCCAGCTCACCCCAGATGCAGAAGCCGTCCCAATTCCCAAACGGGCCTCAATGAAGGAGTTTGGGCACCATAACTGTACTGTACCTGGTGGGTACAGAACAGAGTTGGGCTCCCTTTAGGCCTTTACCTTCCATTAGATGGATCCAACCTAGCAAAGCACCAATTGTATGCAGGTATGGGCCTCATAGTAAAGATGGATCCAACCTAACAAATCACCCAACCTATGTAGGTAAGTATGGTCATTACATATGCATTTTGGAGCCATTCAATAGCGGGGTGCAAGTTGAAGGGGCTCATAATTTTTATAGGGTATTCATGTTGCCAATCTCACCTAACAAAGCACCCAACCCAATGACCCATGTAGGTAAGTATATATGGGCATTACCATTACATGGTAAAGATGAAGCCATTTAATAGTGGGGATGGGGTGCAAGTTGAAGGGACCTCGTATTTTGCAGCCCCAAGCCCATGCCTATAGGGTATTGCCAATCTCACCAAACTGTTGCCTATAACTTGGTTTGAGGAATTCATTTTGGTAAGTAAACTTCCTAGTCCTTACATATATATATATATATATATATATATATATATATATATAAGTTCATATTTGGTTGCAGTTTGAGTTTCATTTGCAATGGTGTAAATGCATAAGAATGAAAATGACTGGGTGTAAATCCTGGTTTCCTTTTGCTTTAGATTTGACCTAGCTTGTTTTGTTTGTTTGTAACAAGTAAAATGATGTGGTTTCCACTTTACATGAGAACTAAGGTGGGAGAAAGTGGTGCAAAATTTGCATTACTGATGAATGGAAATCAGACAAAAAAAAAAGTACAAATTTTAAATCATGCAAATCATAGTCAGAAACAAATTAATGCATAACTGAACTGGGTGCATAATTTGTATCTAGTTCAGATTTGCATTCCAAAACAAAGGCAGCGTTGAAAATTTTCCCTCAACTTACTATTTCTCACTTATTTTTCTATCAAAGCAAAGTGATGGAGTATTTTATAGGTACTGGGTTGTTTCTTACTTACTTTATTGGCTATAAAATATTGTCATCGGGGTGGAATTACTAATCAGGGTTCATGCAGATCTTTACCTTATCAATCCTATTGCAACCTTCACCACTAGTATATGTTGATTCATGCTATATTGGTTTGTATGATTTATTTTTGGGTACGATTTGTAGAAACTGCTGGAGAACAGGGAGGAGAAGATAGAACTTCTCAAGGGACTGACCCTAGGACAGAATGAGACCACGAATGTTTCTCCTCTTCAACAGGTAACAATGTCATCCGTTATTGGATTAGTGGACAGGCCTGGTACTCGTCCAGGGAAAGATTCACATGCTAATCTGAACCAATAGGAATCTTATCTCTTTTATTTTTCGTCTGATCTACAGCAACTAAGGCATTCTTGTTTGTTTTACTTTTACAGGATGTACTGATAGTGTGGGGAGACCATGACCAGATATTTCCGCTGGAGAAGGCCTTTGAGCTCAAGGAGTATGTAATTCAATTGCTTTCTCCCCTTGTATCTATGAATATCATGTGTGCAATGTATAGTAAGTATATGGGAAGTTTCACTAATTAACTTGAAATTAAGCTGATGCTTGATCGCTTACAATTGCTCCAGGCTTCTTAGAAGGAATGTTAGATTGGAGGTGCTAAAGAACACATCGCACATACCACAGACAGAGGATCCAGGCCAGTTCAATGACGTTGTCAAGAAATTCTTGTGTGGCTCTTCTTAGTCATTCCATTTTAGTTCAATTCAGAGTCTCAGATCCGTGTCACCCCTGGATTAGGCAAGGCCTTGAGGGGGACAATGAGTCCAAGTCCATCCATCTATCCTCTGTAACTTAGTTGAAAAAAAAAATTAAGTTGAAGAATTTATATATGCATCTAGTTAAACGGTTAAAGCCATGACAGATAATCTTTCCTTCTTCAGTTTTTTTTCTCCATTAAGCATCACGCGTATTCCTTTACTTTCTTAGTAGGCAAAGCAAAGGGTTTCATTAAAAATTTAGATCGAGTAAAAGTGGCTCTGTCTAGGCCTGTAAAGAATTGTTAAAATTCTAGCTTGAGTTAGCTAAGCCCATAGTTGGGCATAAAAAACTGGGTCTAGTGAATTGAATCAGGCATCCAAGTGGGTTTGCAACACCAGTTTAGGGGTGGTATAACAAATACTAATCAACCAAATTGAAGTAGATGGGGGGTAATACAGCTAGCAGACAACTATCCATCTGATAAGGAGCCTTTGGAATTTGGAATGCTCATGGGTTTATTGTATCTGTCCATACCAGCCTGGAAAATAGAGGCCAGAGAGGGCAATATTAGTTGAAAACTTGAAACCCTTTTGGACCCAACCAACCATGTCCTGCTTTGAAAGATTCCTCTTTCATTTAGATTTTTATTTCCTTCTCTTCTTCTTCTTCTGGTAAAGGAGTAGGGACTGTAGAGAAAGTCTTGGTCAAACTCGAAATGGTAATTGTCTAGCCCAGGGTAGGCTTTGTTTGGCACTTTGGCCTGGTCCATATCATTTTGCTACTCATACGTCATACCTCTAACATGATTAATTTTTATCTTTCCTTCTTTCTTTATACAAGTTGCAATGAGAATAAAATCATAATGGGAAAGGAGAAAAAGAAAAGTCCTAAAGGTTATGTTTGATTTGATAGAAAATAAGAGAGAACCAGAAAGTCGAGGAAAACTTGTTGAAAATTTTCAAAAAAAATTTGCCAACAACTTTCCATGATTAATTTTTATCTTTCCTTCTTTCTTTATACAAGTTGCAATGAGAATAAAATCCTAATGGGAAAAGAGAAAAAGAAAAGTCCTAAAGGTTATGTTTGATTTGATAGAAAATAAGAGAGAACCAGAAAGTCAAGGAAAAGTTGTTAAAAATTTTCAAAAAAAATTTGCCTACAACTTTCTGTTTTTTCCTTATATTTTTATCGATGTAGCATAAAAATCAGCCCCCACAAGGGCGCCCCACTATATCCACAGCACATCCCTGCCTGTATTGGAAATATTTTCCATGATTCTCATTAATTCTGGTACTATCATCCGGAGATATTCTCAATATACGGCACAGGGATGTGCTCGCGCCCCCTTGTGAGGGCTGATTTGACTCTTCGGAGAACCATTCAAGATTCATGTCACGTGGGTTAAATATAAAAACCTATTTGTTCCGACTGTCGACCTGACAAAACTTCTTTATTTATAAGAGGGTAGAGTATCTAGCACACACTCTAATACTATCCTATTGTGATATATATATATATATATATATATATATAAAAGCTTGCCTTCTTATATCATTTATTATGGTGAGTTAAGGTATCATCAACTAAGCAAGTACCCTTGTCTCATTCAATACTGTAATTTTGACTCTTGACCAGAAGAGAGGCCATGTTTCAAGGTAAAATATAAAAAGTTAGTAACTTAAAATTCAAACTAATTGGGCATATACATATACTATAAATTTGTAAACAAAGATATGAAAAATATAAAAATTAAGGGGAACCCATCAGTGCTCTACTCAATTTAATTTTGCCAAAGCCAGCTTGATTTGAGGCTAGTTTCTGTTAATGAACTTGAAAATTGGGCTCATGCAATGACTTGTGGGCTATATGCTGATCTTATACATAGCCAGATGTCTTTGAATGATCATCAACACGCCCATCAGGCTATTCATTCGTTTTTTCCTTTTTAACATTTCCATTGTCCTTTGCTTTCTTTCATAGTAAGAGAAACAACCAAAAAGCATTCACGACCGGCTTAACAACTGTAAATGAACAAAATTCAGGTGAAGACTAAACTTATCATTTGGGTTTAAATAACCCAAGAGATTTGAATGCATCTTATGTAGTGTTGATGTGCTATAATTATTCTTTCTCATTTGATCGAAGAGTGGCTGGACTCCAAAGACATTTTAGAGCTCCATATTCTTAAAATTGTAGAATTAGGAATTTAGGAGATATCTTTTGCAGGATCGATGGTTCCAATTATTATCAACTTGAAACTTGAAAGTTACAGAACTGAGAGATCTCTTTTTCTCAACTCCAAATTCAAGTTTTTTTTGAGTAGAACTCCAAATTCAAATTGAGGGTCTTGATATTTGGATGCAAAGGACAATTCCACCTTTTTTTTCCTTCTACCAAACAGGCGCATATGTTTTTTTTTTCTTGCTGCTCCATGGTCCACACTCTGTTCAGCCCGTCCAATCAATTAATTACTAAAAATGTCTGGAAATGTAAATTCCGAAGACTGAAAAGCATGGGGCCAGCAAAAGGCGCATCACCAAAGGGACCGGTCCAAGAAACTTGATGCCAAAAGAAGAAGAGTCACAACTCCAACCAATCCAAACAGTTCAATTTTCCTCTCTCTTTTTCCCAGTCAAATGGGATATATAAATAGTATGGTCTCAGAGTCTCAGGGCCCGAGGGGGCAAGGCATATGATGGCAATGGCGTACTCTTTTGTTTCGCAAGAGGACACCTGAAGGCTTCACAAGTGATTTGAAAAAGTAAAATTTGATCTCACATTAAGATGGTAAAACTAGTGCTAACATCATTGTATTGGAATCTTTACCCTCCTCAGACACTGTTAGAACCCATATCTACTATTCTGAACTAATAATATTTTAATCCAACGGTTTTAATTCAATATGGATAGCCTGCTATATTATCCTCGTAATGGGGATTGGGGACACAGTAACTAGTATAGTATTGACAAAAGTTCAGATACAGAAAGTCAGAAAGACCAACACAAATACTATTCTATTTTCCCAAGGAGACTGGATTACTTTTCTTTTCATTTTCTTCTTTTTCTTACTTTGACTGAGGGGAAAGCGTGCAGCTTTCGTCTCTCTCTCTCTCTCTCTGTGCAGATTTAGCAGAGAAGAGATGCGTACTTGGGTACTTTGTACAATGACTGCGAGGAGGAGAGACAACACTGCTCCATCTCAACTGACTTTTGTTTGAGCAGAGATTGGGTGAGTTGAATTGCAGTTAAATACGTTGGTTTTGGAGATAAACCATATTGCTCCTTTACCAGGTACTACAATGCAATTGAGCTTGAGCTTTACTTTTTTTTTTTCTTTTTCATTTTACTTTATTGTTATTTTGCTGTTTGAGATCTTTCTCTCTTATCGAATTTGTGTTATGTTATTGCCTTATTGGTGGTAGTAGCATATGTTTCTGAGAGATATTTTGTTGTTGATCAAATGGGAGATTGATGGGTCTTTTTTTGGCTTTGTTAATATTCTTTCTTGGGTTGTTATTGGTGTCTGATGTTGGTCCTTGTTTCACGTTTTCTTTCTTTCTTTCTTTTTTTTTTTTTTTTTTTGAAATTTCAAATGTTTTCTCACATATTTTAGTGGGATGTTTAAGATGGATGTTTTGGAAGACTTGGAGATTGCTAGTGTGATTCTTTGGAGTGTTAATTATACGTCATCTGCTGATTGGTGGGTGTTGCGTGTGAACTGTGAACCGATTTAGATACCGGGTTTGTAATCGATTGATGGGTTATATTATGTTTCAGCTCTTAAAGGGATTCTCCATACATCGATATACATTGTTTTGGGTTTCTCTAATTACTCAGTATCATTTTCAGTTGTTTTGAGTTATTTGTTATGGATTTGCGGATGACTGTTTCAGCCGACTTGGGTTGTTATGGAAAATAAGTCCTTTTCTGGATGAAAAGATTACAAAACAGTAGCAAACAGACAATCCGCTGAAGGAAAAAAAAAGAGAAAAAGAAAATTCAACTTTTAAGTGTAGTGCATATTTATGAAGCTTAGTAATTGGACCACCTTCTTCTTTCGTTTTTGTACTAGGTGCCAAAGTTTGAACAGTGTTCTAAGTCGAGAAACATGTTAAAAAAATGAGTGTAGCAGAGGGGTGAGTGTTTCCCCTTAGGTGATAAAATGAAATACAGTATACTAACTAAGATGGTTTCATCGTGTGCATAAAAGAGCATTTATTGGCAACAGTAAGAAGAAATGATCTGTTGCAAGTTGAGGGTCTAGAAGAGCTAGGGGCAGGCCAAAAGGACATGGATTGATGTAGGATGATTTTATCATTGGAGGGATCCCAATTTAAGAATGCATATGGCACTGGATAGAGCAGAAATGGAGGAGAAGGTTTCATGTAGTTTGACACCATAGAGCTAGGACGAGGATTTGTTGGGTTGAGTGTAGGTGTTGAAGTTCCGTTAATGAAACAAAATTCTTTACATCCTGTGTTGAACAATATGATCCATATAATTCTTTACACGAAGTCTAACAAGTCAGGTGGAAAATGGGAAGACTGCAAAAGAACTTCCTTGCATCCCATGCAATAGGGTTAGAGGTAATTAACTACTTGTTTGGCTTATGTAATTAGTTTCTCACTTCCTGTCTATTAGAAGAGTCTGGATGGTTGAGAAATTCTCAGAGGGAATTTGGTAACTTGGGCAGGCTTAATGGAATAACCGAATAACAGATCTACCTTCTTATTATTTGTATACTTAAATTTCCATTGTGGTTTCAATTCACAAATTCAAACTAGTCTTTAAAATATTGTGATCTTCACAATTTATACCACAAAATGGATAAACCCCTTTTTTCTTTTAGAAACGTTAGTCAATGATTCTTGCCTAATGAGTCAGTAAACATATTCACATGGTTAGAAAAGGTTAAAGGTGGCCCATGGAGGCTGGCTCACTACTTGGCCGAGGCTAGAGACATTTTGGCTGTAACGAATGCAAATCTTACTTGGCTCCTTAGAGAATTAGATTCATTGGCAGACGGGTTAGCTAAATCTGATGTTCATAGGGAGTCTCTGTATAATGACAGATCTTTGCCTATTTAATGCTTGAGTTTTCCTTTTGTTTGCTTTGATTCTGTTGCACATCATCTCATGTACTAGTTTATCAATTAATGAAAAATTTCTATCTTCTTTCAGAAAAGGGTATTTTTCTTATTGGAACAAATTCTGTTTCCTTCAACATTTCATGATTAGTTGAAGAGAAATTTGTCTCAGTCAGTTTTCTACGCATCTTATTCTTACCTGACCATATGTAATGAGGTTTTTTCTGCTATTCTTTCTTGTGCAGTTGCTGCTTGCCAGTTACATCTTATGCACCTGAAAATTTGTACCTGAGCAAGCAACGATAAACACATTCTTTGCCAATCTTCTAAACAGGAGTCAAATATCAGAAGATCCCCATGATACATGGCGCATCTTGATTAGTATAACTCCTATGCTTTCCATTGTAAAAGAAAGTATGGGCTTACTTTGCAGCAAACACCAGCATTTTGATGAAGCTAATGCCGAAGAAAATGCCCAGGTGAATATTCTGTTCTTTTAAGATATATATGTTTACTGAGTTTGTACCGAAGAGGATTCATAGAACCCTGTTGTTAGCTATGCTTGAAAATCTTTTATCTTAACGCATGCTCCTCTGCATGCATATATACAAAAACAAACATATGGATGTACACACACACACACACACACACTCATCAATTAGAGGGTGGCTCTTCACAATTTTATTCTTAAAATGATTTATAAGTCACAGTCAGTAACGCAGCACTTATCTTTTTATTTGGGYTTTTTGGTTCATTTTCAGGCTGTAGAAATAGAGAGGCGTATTGCTCAAGAAACAAAGGCTGAAAAGCATATCCAAAAGCTTCTACTACTTGGTACATATTACCTAAACCTTAAGTTCTATTTATTGTCTGTGTGTTGTACATTATCCTTAAATTATTTTTTGATTCATCAATCTTAAATTATATATCCAGTAATTGAAGCTTTGTCTGTTTACAAAATACTAGTTAGATGCTGAGCCCTGTAGTTTCTTGCATGAGTAGAGCATTCTTTATCATTGATGATCCTTTTTGGGTATAACCTGCTGAAGTCTCAACTTGATGCTTATCAGTTAAGTCCCATCTTAAGCTTTACATTTTCTGGTTTTATGAGTCAACTGCATTTAAAAGGACATGGGTAGAAGTAGTAAGAAATGATTTAAGCACTAATAATTTGACAGTGGATATGGCTTTAAATAGAACAGATTGACAAAACAGGATTCATGTGACTGACTTCATATAGTTGGGATAAGGCATGGACAACAATGATGATGATGATGAGTCTAACTGCATTTAGTTAATCTTTGATTCTCTTTCTTTGCTGCAAGAGGTAATGTTATCAGAATGTTCAGAACATGGTGTTGCGAGTTTTGGAGAAGTCAGGATTAGAAATCATTCATTAAATTGTTTTGGAGGTTATGAGCATTTTGCTTCATGAACTATGTATGCAAGCCTGTTTATGCTTCCAATATTAGTTACAGATATCAAATGGTAATGAGAAGATGTGGATGGTTGTAACACTAAGGATAATCTAGCAATATTGTCTTGCTCAATGGTAAAATCTAGGGAGTAGCTGTAGAGGATTGAGCACTCGAGGAAGGGGGATCTGTCATTATGGGAATAAATCATATTAGTAATTTCTCTTTCTAATGAGCTTATATGGGTATACTTGATGAATCAGTTGTCTGGGTGAGTTATGGTTATATGGTGATGTTTATGGGTATGGTAAGTGTTTGGCAAAAGTTTTGATGGTGTGGAGGATCTGCTTGTTTGGTTATGGCTCTTGAATTTCTGAGGTTTTTGGGCCTCTTTTTTGATGGGGGATTAAGTGATTTTTTCAATATGAGGTTTTAGGCATCTTTTGGATGATAAGTTAAGGGTATTTTTCTTTTTCAGCATCCCTGCTTTCCTTTATGTATACAAATTTTACATGTTTTTATTTGATACAAAGTTTCTTTACATATAAAAGAATCAATTCTTTTAAAAATGGGAGTTGGCTTTGAAACTGATATTTTAGTTGGGAGGTTTGATGAAGTTTGCAGTTTTTTTTTTTTAAATTTTTATGCTTTTATGTTGCATGGTTGAAATGTTGTCAAATTTAATTGTCAGGGTTGCTCTATGGGTAATCCTGTCATGTGGAGTCCCTAGTGATGGAAAGGAAATGGCAGTTGCTGCATATTTTGGGCTATGGGATAAAATAGAAAACAGGAGGACTAGAAAATCTGTTAAATGATAAGAGATGGGGACATCATTCCAAATCCATTTGTTTGTTCTCAAGGGAAAAGGGAGTGGGGGGGAGCAGTCCAAGATGGAGATTGCTGGAAGCCTGGAACAAGAGGGAGATGTAGTGATGAAAGGGAGATTTGACCAACCACTGGGCTGGACGAATTCAACATTGAAATGCTAAAGTTTGATGCTTCTTTATTTAATCTTTTTTTTTTTTTGATAAATGCTAAAGATGTATTGTATTGCTATAAAGGAGTGAGAGAAACCCTCAAGAATTTACAAAAAGTTTATAACTATATATTCACAGGTCATACAAAATGAGTGTTAAAAAACGATAGTAGAATTAAACCAGTGATATCTCAAGCAATCAGTCTGAACCCCTGCAAACAGTTTTCAAACACCAGTCCATCTCATCAGTGTCCATTTGGCCTTTTCCAATAATGGCTTCCAAAGGTGCAAAATTTGCCTCAAAAAGCCTGCTATTTCTTTCCTCGCAAACAACCCAGCAAATAGAAAAAGGCAAAGAATTCTACTAGTTGATGCTTCTTTATTTTGTTCATTTTTATTTTAAAGTTTTGTAGTTTGTACATGTGCAATGATGTTATAAATGGTTGTCCTATCAGTCTTCATCATTGTTTTGATTCTATTTGCATTTTCTGAAAAGCAATGTTTTCTCTGTTTTAGTTGTTTATCTTTCTCAGATGCTGTAGTTTTTAATTTTGTGATGCCTATCTTTTGGTTAAAGCATGCTGCTAAGCAGTAAGCACTTCTTTCTGTCCATTGAAGTCTTTTCTTTTATGATTTTTTCTTATTCATTATGGACTATCTTTTGGTTTTAAGGGGCTGGAGAGTCAGGGAAGTCCACAATTTTTAAGCAGGTTTGGCATTCTGTGCTTCCTTACCTATTCCTATTAGCTTCAATTTCTGCTTTGCATATATCAATATATTCTAACATTTACTAATACTTGGTAATGACAGATAAAACTTTTATTTCAAACTGGCTTTGATGAGGGGGAGTTAAAGAGCTACATATCAGTCGTCGATGCCAATGTGTATCAGACTATTAAAGTATGCATTATGCAATACTGAAAAGGGTGTGTTGGTTGTGTCCCTTTTGCAAAATATGRAAAATTCTTAGCATCATTTGCTGGAATAGATTGTAAAGCTTTTGCAATGAGATGAATGGTGATCCTTTGTGTCGAATCTTATTGAAAATATTTGGAAATTCCAACAGATGCTGTATGATGGGGCAAAAGAATTTTCTCAGAATGAAGAAGATTCTTTGAAGTATGCATTGTCTGTTGAAAATAAGGTATAAAACAACCTTTCCTTGTCTTGCTTACATTTTTTAATGCCAATTTCCATTATGTGTTATTTAACAAATTGAATATATTAAAGAAGTGTTAACTTTCTTTCATCATGTAATTCAGATTGTCATACATGCAAAACATATCTTGTCTTCCTGTTTGCTCATTCCTATCTTTCAAGGTTCCATTTTTAGTAAAAAAATGCTTCTGCTTTATTCTGGTATAAGGATATTGGAGAGAAGCTATCCGAAATTGGAGGTCGGGTGAACTATCCACGCTTGACTAAAGAACTTGCACGGGATATAGAGACTTTATGGAAGGATGCTGCAATTCAGGTTTCTTTTGCTTCACTTAGATGCCATGAAGTGGTTGTTTTGTTCTGTGTTTGTTTGGCTGCTTGTGCATTTGCATGAAAGGGGTTTTCATGCATGAGGATGCACATGTGTATACAAATGGCCACTCCCTACTAAATTTCTAGCTACCCTTGTATGTGCAGGAAACCTATGCTCGTAGTAATGAACTCCAAGTTCCAGACTGTGCTCACTATTTCATGGAGAATTTGTACAGATTATGTGACGTCAACTACGTTCCAACTAAGGTCTTATACAATGAGATTCCCTCAGTCCTATTCACTCAAAATGAATTATGTTAGTAAATATCTCATGCTATAAGTACTCATTTTTTCATCATTTTTTTACTGCCAAAGTTTGCAGAAAATACCAAGGTCAGATCTTATTTCTCTGCATATCCATATATCTGGCTGTTAACCTCCAGTGCTTCACACTAATTAAAAAAAAAAAGAACTCCAGTGCTTCACTGGTTTACATCAGTAATGGCCTTAGTTGCTAATAATTGCTGTTTGTTATGGGGGCTATCTTGGTTTGGGTTCTCATTCAAGTTTATTGTCCTGTCTTCATTTACAATTTCTGAATAAATATCTGAAGGGTGCATATGATTTGCTGAAGCATCAATGCATCATGTGGTAAACGGTTTACTTGAGACTACTCTTTGATGGAGGAAACATATATAGTTTACTTTTTACTGTAGCCTTGGGTCTTTTATGTTGTTTTCTGAATTGTCATTGACCTATAATATGAGCTCCAATCTGTTTAGTGCTATATTCAACTAAAACAAAATTTTTTATGGTTTTGAATTTCATGGTGATACTTGGTAGAATTTCTTGACAGCATCCTGAAGAAAATGCCAACAGTGCTTTCAAAATTCAAGATTGTTTGCTGGAATCCAGGGTTCAACAACTAGGATAGGGGCTTTTAAAAGCTCAAACTAGTGAAGGTTGAAACTTGAAAGATCTACTAGCGAGGAATTGTATTGGGGAATAACTGCCTTGGGGTTGGGGCTGGAAGGTTATTCAATTTGCTTTTCATTGTTGTTTTATGCTGGCTATCAGGGTAGCTGGTTAGTCTACGCTACCTAATTTGAGATTTTTGTGTCTATTCTCCTTAACAGAAACATGGCTCTGCAAATGGGAGGACTGGATTTTTGTAGTTGGGATTAAGGATGAGTTAGGTTGTATTTGGTCTCTCTCTCTCTCTCATATTAGTAAAACCTCTTTGATCTAATGTTGAGAAAAGAAAGGTTTTAAACAAGGTTGAGGGAAGGAGATGGGTGAATCAATCAGAAAAAAATGGACGGTCAAAGTTGATTTCCTGACACTAGAAATAAAAATCTGAATTAAGGTGTGGGAGATTAAGGCCTAGTGTTCAAGAGAAAATATGAGATTTTGGGGAGATCTAATGTCTAGTATATTGAGGATCAGAGCAGATCAGTTTTGAGGAAGTTTTAAATGGATTACCCAAGTTACCATGCTGGGCATCATCCAAAGCATAGAGTCTTCAGTGAGACGTTTTATTCACCTTCTCTTACAAATTTATAATCATGTCTCATATGGGCCTGTGGAGTTTATGGTGGTCATGTAAAGATTTGCAGTCAACTTTCTGCCTCCCCCCAAAATTAGAGAGTATTTGGGATTCCTGTTGAATACATGTTCAAAGCTTTCAAAACACTGTATATCTGATGCTTAAGTTCAAATTAGGATTAAAATACAATAAGCATACTAGGAAGAACTCCTATAGTTCAAAGAACTTGTAATGAAAATAATTTAAACATGCCAAACCAGATAGAGCTATAATAGGATGCCTATGAGACCTATGGGTGGGCCATAGCTGCATGCATGATCAACCCTATTTTTTTTCTCTCAAATAAATTGTTCTACAAGCTTCTCTACCATTGGCAAAATCCTGAATGGTGTCAGATAGGCCTGCTTGAGGAGCTGGATAGGTCTGCATCTAGGGGCTAGATGGTTGGCTTTGCATCAATGCATCTCAATGTCTTATTGGATATGTTATATAAATTCATTTTTTTATCAGTAAAACTTTGGTTATATTAATTGAGTGAGAAAATATAATACTATTTTGATTTGATGATCATGATATCATCCCCACAATCAAAACTATGTTACAAAGATGCCCAAAACAATTGCTCCCTTGCTACCCCTTGTTTAGCAGGGGAGTCGGATAACCCATTTGCACTCCTAACCCATTTGAATTCAGCACCCAGCTCTCTTGCAATCCTTTCTACTTCCCTATAAACATTCTTGAGGGTCCAAGGAATATTTCTATTAGATCTTGCCCAAGAAATGATTACTTTTGAATCCCCTTCCACCTCCAATTGATTGAAGCCCAATTGCTTAGCTAGCCTGAGACCTTGTAGTAACGCCAACAATTCAACTTTTATGGAGTTAGCTACACCAATTGGTCCAGAGAAAAGAGCCAACAATCTGCCCTCTGAGTTTCTTAATGCCCCACTAATACCTGCCATGCCAGGGTTACCCAAAGAGCTGCCATCAAAATTCAGCTTTACTTTACTGCCTTGTGGAGGTTTCCATTCCATTTTTAATCTATCTTTGACTCTAGAGGAAAATGCTATCTCCTTCCAAGCCCTTAGAATATAAGCCACTGTGAAATTCTGAAAGCAATCCAAAGTTTTAATCCAGAATGTTACTTTCACTTTTATTGTCTCTATTACTTCCTCTACAGGTTTGCTTTTGTCATTAAAAATTCTGATATTCTTCTCCTCCCAAACCACCTAAATAGTTGCAGCTTTAGTAACTTTCCACATCAATCTTCCTTTTTTTTTTGGTTGCCCAAGGAAATTGGGCCTGAAAATGTATGCCACCTCTTGGGGAAGGGATCCAACTACAACTGAAAAGATCACAAAAAAACTCCCAGATATGTCGGACAAAGGGGCAGAAGATTAATAAGTGGGGTACAGTTTTTCCACTTTTCCTACATAAAAAGCACATGTGAGGAGAGAAGYAACAAAAAGGCCTTCTTTTCTGCAGTGCACCACAGGAGTTAACCTTTCCAAGGAAAGATTCCATTTTTATATAAACTCATTACAGTGTTATGCTTATTTGTATTTTAGAGCTATACCTCATTCTCTAGTTCCCTAATGTCTGTTTTTGATACTTCAGGAGGATGTTCTTTATGCAAGAGTTCGAACAACAGGTGTTGTAGAAATCCAGTTCAGGTGAGTTTTCATCTTGAGAACCTTGCTTCTTTCCTAATTGCACCTTAACATGCTTTTCTCAAACCATCATGTTTGTATCTTTAATTTCCTTAGCTGGAGTGGTGGACATTAACCAACTGCCATCTCTGATGGTCTTAAACTCTTAACAAAACTGTGAAGCCCAAATATATACTTGATAGGCATGAAATACCCCTTAACAACATTGAAACTGTCAACTATCAATGCAGATGACATGATTACTATAATAATTTGAAAATTTTGTTCTTGTAAAGGGTAACAAGTATGTGTTGTTTGCATTATTTATGTGAACTTTTTGTATGAAACAACCAACCTTTGGACTAGGATTGTGCAATGCTTGGACTTGTCTTTTAATGGACGAAAACTTTACGGAACTCTTGGATTTTTTGCCCTACAGACCTGATGGGATCCATGAAAAGAGACACTATGGGACAAAGCTGGACATGTATTTTCATGGGTTCCCCTTTTATCTTTAGGGGGTAGAAATATGATGGTTGCATAAAGTTTCTTATTAGCATTTCGCTTTGTAATATATTGTACAGGTGCCTTGTTATGTCGCCATTATTGTAGCCTGGTGCTACAGAGTGTTGCTTTAGAGTACTGGAAGACATAATTTGACAATAAAATATTGAATTAGAAGAACCTAAGTTGGAGTAGTCAGTGATTCTTGCTTCTTAGGTGATAGGGGCAGAGGGGGAAGAGGAAGAAATTCTGTGGCTAGCATTGGCTTTTTCTGTGCCGGTTGGTCTCTGATGTTCCTGGGGTTGTGGAGGTTTTTCTGTTGTGTTTCTCATTGCTGGGCCTGAGCTCAGTGGTGTTTTGGTTTGGTTCTGGGCCCTTTGTTTGGTGGGTCCTTGAGTGTTTTGTTGAGGTGAGCCCTTAGTGGTTTCTTCTGTTTGGCTGTATTTTTTTTTGGTCTCAGGTTTGGGTCTTGTCCTGGCCTGTTTTTGGATCTGGGCCCTTTTTGGGATGCTAGCTGCTCCCGTGGTTGGCTTTTGGATCCGTATACATCTTGTATACTTATTTTTTTCTATCATTTTCTTTAATATACTTTATATGTTACCTTTTTCAAAAGAAAAAAAAAACTTGCTTCTTAGGTTTTTTTTTTTTTTTTGATGAATGTTCTTAGGTTGTTTTTGTTACTGTGCATTGAACTATTTCAAGGACATATTAGAGTAAAAATGCCTTTGCCTAATTCTGGTAGGGTGTATTGGAGTAAGGTTACTGGTTTATGAACTCAAAATGATTATGTTATCTTTGATTAATTAACTGGTTCTGATTTGTTTTAGTTCTTGTTAATTTAGTGAGTTAGTCTCCACCTAAATGTTGTCCTTACTTTTTTTTAGTATTGTAACTCTCATGGCCAAGTTTTTTGTCATTTATTTCAATATAGGTACATATATATGCTCTTCATGTCCCCCCCCCCCCCCCAAAAAAAAAAAAAAAAAAAAAAAAAGAAAAAGAAAAAGAAATTGTTCTGTGCATTGCAGACATTTCCTTTCAGCCAGGACTGATAAAAAAAATGATCTTTTGTAGAAGATACTGACAACCAATTAAGATGGATGAGTGGAAAAACTAGAAAGGATAGGATTGGGAATAAAGTCATCTGTAGAAACCTAGGAGTTGCTCCAATAAATGATAAAATGAGAGAGTAGACTAAGATGGTCTGGTCATGTGCATAGAAGGCCACCAACACCTCCAGTTAGAAGAAGTGGTTTGTTACAAGTAGAAGGGGCTAGAAGAGCTAGGGGCAGACCAAAAAGGACAGGGGTAGAAGTAGTAAGAAATGATTTAAAACACTAATAGTTTAACAGTGGATATGGCTTTAAATAGAACGGATTGGCAAAACAGGATTCATGTAGCCAACTCCATATAATTGGGATAAGGCATGGATGATGATGATGATGATGATGCCTATCGGCCTTGTCAGTTTCAGTCGAAGAAGAGAAGAGACAAGAGAGTCACATGAAAATGGATGGGTGTGTACAGTACCACATGCCCAGAAAAAGATATTTATATATTAATGTGAGAATGGACAGTTCTGTCCTTACAAGTGTGAGATATGTACAGTAATGTACAAAGAGATATACAAAAGAGTCAAATAAAAGAAAGTAAAATTACAAAGTTACCCCTTATCCTCTCTACAAGCCTATCCTTTTTTTATCCTTTTTGCGGTTTGTAACATTGTCTGAATTTTATTAAGAAAATAATGAATAATTGAGTACAGAAATAAATATACACTATCATCTATGCCCTGAATAATACACAAAAGAAGAGTTAACCTCTTTGCTACTTATACCATTATCATTTGAACTCATTCCCATAAAATACTTCATTAACCCAAGAAACATGATCCCCAATATAAGTTATGTATGTTTTAACCCTCTCCAAAAAGTGAATTAGACAGGGAATAGGGATTTTGTAGACCTTAATACCCAAGTAAACGAAACACGTGGACTAGTCAATAATCCTGCTTATTTGATGACAATTCTGTGAAGTGGCCATTATAAAATCCCTCATCCACCAAATGATAACTTGTGAATTTCCCTCCACCTCAAAGTTCAAGTAGCCTAATGAACATGCTCATCTTTTTTTAATAAATCATCTCCATCTTAAACTTTCAAGAAGAAATGGTAACTCTGCTTTAGTGGAGTCATTATCCTTTATGTGACCTTAATACACTGCTGATATATGCTTCGGTGATTTCTAAAGACTCGCCCAATCCCAAAACTTCTGGATTATCGAAACAACAACCATCACAATTGAACATGGTGTGGTGAAGTGGGACCTACTCCCTATATATTTGCAATTGCTTACTTTCAGCATACTGGATGCCTATCTTCAAGGACCACCAATACTTATGCTGTGAGTTGTGGATGTGGTGCAATGACGCTTGCCCTTATGAACTGCTATGGGAAGATCAAGATCATCTAATGAAGGTGAAGGCTCCATGGTGGGATGTCTCTCATCTGTAGTATCTGTGGTACCTGGATCTAGCTCTGCAAAAGGAACTGAGGCTACTGTGGTACCGGGATCTGGATCTGCAGAGGAGATTGGGACTGGCCTGCACTGTTGATGTCCGAAATCAACTTGTCTCCATCGTTTGTGATAGACTCTCACATCCCTGCATCTCTGATAGCCCTCCCCATTAACTCCTCTTCACTTAATGGGATAGGTAAAGGAACTTCTGACGAGTTAATCCCAACCTTACTACTCTCCCCCTGAGGAGAAACCCTTGGATAATAGGGTACATCTTCAAAGAAAGTGACATCCATTGAGACAAATCTTTTCCCAGAAGTAGGTTCATAGCAGCAATATCCCTTTTGAGTTTGTGCATAACCAAGGAAAATACATTTTGAGGCTTTAGGATCAAACTTGGAATGATGAAGGCCAAGAATCTGAACAAAGCATGTACAACTAAAGGTTTTAAGG